CGATTGGAGCGGGCTAGGATCCTCTAGTCCATTGTTCCTTGGAGCGAAGTTCAGAGGTTTAGCCTGACCGCATGGAGCCTTTGTGTCATACGCAGTCTGCGATAGGTACATTACACCCCTCCCCCCTTGGTCCAAAAGACACCTGCATACATAGTCCTTTAAATATGCTGAAGCCTTACGTTGCCTCGTGGAGCGGCGTGTTGCTGGAGTTGTCGGGGAAACTGACGTCGATGCTCTCGGCGGAGAGCTGGCCGGCACTGGCGAAGAAGGCGTCATTCCCTGGGGCTCATCCGAGGAGGCCAGGGAATCTGTGGGCTGGTTGACTGGTGTCGGGGGCGCGGTCTCCGGTGGGCTGGCAATCACTGGTGGTGGCTGTTGCTCTGGGGGTTCAGATGTGACTGGCTCCTCAGGGTCCTCCGGTTCCAGAGGCAGCACTCGCCGACATAGTTGGTCGATGTGTCTGTGGAGCACCATGCAATCCTCACAGGAGACCTCGTACAAACGGGGGTCCTTGACTCGCACCACTCACACCGGGATCCAAGGCAGGCCCTTGGCATATTTCCGCGCGTACATGGGGTCCTCAGGGAAGAAACCTCGGGCGGCTTCCTGGTCCTCCGTGCTTGGCTCGCATTCTGGGGCCTGATACGGGTGTAGCCGATCCAGACATGTCGTGAGGCAGAGACCCAAGAGCAGTTTGGCCAGGCTGCGTCCCGTTGTGGTGTGAAGGGTGATTCGTTGGCTGAAGAGGAAAGAGGCCATCTTGTAGTCCCAGTCCGGTGTGTCAAGCCTGCGAAGTGCATCCTTGGTGGTTCGGACCATCCGTTCCGCTTGGCCGTTGGTGGCAGGGTGGAACAGAGCTGAACGCACATGCCGAATCCCATAGTAGGTCGTAAAGTCCTGGAACTCCCCGGACGTGAACGTGGTGCCGTTGTCCGTTACCAGGGTGTCCGCGATTCCCTGGGCACTGAAGATCCGCCACATGGCCTTGATGGCGGATCTCGAGGAGGTGGATGGTACTGGGATGACCTCTAACCACTTGCTGTAAGACTAAACCAGAATGAAAAACAATTGCCCCTGGAATGGCCCCGCAAAGTTTAGGTGGAGCCAAGACCAGGGGCGGTGGGAGGACTCCCAGGCTCTCTCCGGGGCCCTGGGTGGTTCGGGGCAAGAGGCTTGGCAGGGCTGACATCTTTTTACCTTGTCTTCGATGTCCCGATCGAGGCCTGGCCACCAGACGTAGCTCCTCACCAACGCCTTCATCTTCACGACCCCTGGATGGTGCTCGTGCAGAGCCTCTAAGACGTGCTGCTGGAGTGGGGCAGGTATCACCACCCGGCCTTCCCAACAGCAGGCACACTTTGTATGTTGACAGTTCATCTTTCCTCATGACAAGCGGCGTGAACTCCAGGCCCTCTTTGGCTGTAGGCCACCCCCTCCCCACCCAGTCCAGGACCCAACAGAGGACCTTGTCCCAGGCTGTGAGGTGGGCCACCTCCTGCATATGGACCAGGTGATCGGGAAGCGTTTCCAAAAGGGCAACTGTGTGTGCGGGAGCCAAGTCGGGGTCAGTGACGGGCAGCGGTAAGCAGCTGAGGGCATCTGCGTGGCCCATAGCTTTTTCGGGGTGATGGATGAGGTCATAGGTGTAACCCACCAGAAAAATGGACCACCGCAGGACCCTGGGGGAGACCATCTGAGGCGTCTGGCAGTCGGGGGCCAGAAGACCCAGGAGGGGTTTATGGTCCATCACCACCATGAAGGGCTGGCCATAGAGATAGTGTTGGAATATTTTACACCAGCCACTATCGCTAACACCTCCTTGTCTATCTGCGCGTAGTTGCGCTCCGCAGAAGACAAGGTCCTGGAATAGTAGGCAACCAGAACCTCCCAGCCGTCTGGCAACCGGTGGCCCAGGACCACCCCGACTCCATAGGGTGCGGCGTCACAAGCAAGGACCACTGGAAGCGATTCGTTGAAATGGTGCAGGACGGAGTTAGACATTACCAAGTCCTTGACCCCCTGAAACACCGCCGCGTGCACAGGCCCCCAGACCCAGGGCGCGTCCTTGTCCAGAAGGCAGTGGAGCAGTTCCGCCACGGCAGCTTTCAAGGTCAGAAAGGCGCGGTAAAAATTGAGCAGGCCCAAGAAAGCCTGCAGTTCAGTTTTGGAGGGGTGTGTGTGTGTGATCACCCTAACTTTATCATCCGTGGGGTGGATTCCCTGCACATCCACTGCAAACCCCAGAAATTCAATGGGGGCACCCCAAGTAGGCACTTTTCCTTCTTCACTTTGAGGCCGGTGGAGTCGAACCTCTGGAGTACCACTCGGAGCCGGTCTGCGAAGGTGGCAGAGTCCGGCGCCGTAATGATCACATCATCTAGAAAAGGTTGTACACCTGGAATGCCTTTAAGAAGGGAATCCATGAATGACTGGAAGATCCCTGGGGCCACACATACCCCAAACTGCAGCCTAGTCACTCTAAACGCCCCCTTGTGCATTGCGATGGTTTGTGCCTCGCGGCGGCTACATCCACTGGCAGCTGCTGGTAAGCTTGCACCAAATCTAGCTAACCAAAGACCCTGGCCCCCGCAAGAGAGGCTAAGACGTGGCTTACCACTGGGACTGGATAAGTGTAGTCCTGCAAGTCTTTGTTGATAGTACACTTATAATCGGCACATATGTGCACGTCACCATTCGGTTTGACCGGCGTGACGATGGGGGTCTCCCAGTGCGCAGACGCGACTGGTTCAAACACCCCTTGCTCGACAAGGCGGTCGAGCTCTGCCTCTATTTTGGCTGTCATCGCAATGGGGGGAAGTCGTGCCTTAATGTGGATGGGGTGCATGTTAGGATCAAGGTACAGAGAAATGGGGGCCCTGGTGTACTGCCCCAGAGTCCCATAAAACAGCTGGGGAAACTCCCCGCAAACTGCCTCAAAGTCCGTCGTCCAGATCTGGTTGTTCCCCGTTATCTTGAGGGCCAGGGGCGTGAACCAGGACAGGCCCAACAAGCTGGTGAGGCACCCCTCCATCACCAACAGGTTCAGCTTTTTTTTTTCAGCAGTCCCGAGAAACCCTTAAACTGGACCCAGAACTTGCCACAGCCTCGGACCGCCACAGGGTTCTTATTAAAGTCCCGCAACGTGAGACCCTGTGGCTTGTGCAAACAGGGTCCCCCCGTGGGCTAGAGAATGGAGGGTTTTGGCTGAGATGATAGAAAATGACGAGCCTGAGTCAATTTCCATCGGACAGGGGGACCCCTCAATAACGACAGTCACATGCACCTTGTCCGGGCCACCTGGGGGCAAGTTACATACCATTTATTGTTGGTGGGTCGAAACGGTGTGGAGATCCGATGAATCCAGCTGCACCGCTGTCTTCTGATGTTGTCCCTTGGAGCAGCAAACTCTCTCCAGGTGTCCAGCCTTGTTGCAGGTCCGGCAGATGGTGTCACGGAATCTGCAAGTCCGGCACTCGTGAGCGTCGCCGCAGCTGGTGCAGGCCGAGGAGTGGTGAGGTGCTTTGGCCAAGGATGACCCTTTGCTGCTTTGAGAGTGCTGGGATGGACGTCGGGTGACCTGGAGGACCTCCTCGTCACTGGAGACGTCGGAACCTGCCATAACTTGGACGGCGGTCGGAGTGCGACTTCTTGTAGGCCACCGCTTCCTGGATCGCCTCCTCCAGATCGAGATCATCATGACCGACGAGTTTTCACCACAACTTGGGCTTCCTGAGACCCACCAAGAATTGGTTTAAGAGTGCCTCCGCCAGGTCCAAGAAGGTATATCTTGTGGCTGCCCAGCGCAGCCCGGCCAGGAAGTCAGAGACCGACTCGTCTGGTCCCTGGACCCTTGCGAAAAATTCCATTTGTTCCGCGAACTTGGTGGGTTTTGGGGTTGTGGTCCATGAACACCTTTACCAAAATGTCATCGTTCGCAGCCGCGTCGCTGGTCTGCTGAGGCACCATCAGGTCCTTCAACAAGCGGTGTGCCTTGATCCCACAGTACCATAGAAGATGGGCCTTCTTCTTTCCAGGGTTCATTATATCATTTATAGCAAAGTGGTTTTCAAGAATTTCAAGCCACATCTCCCATTGTGTGGGGCGGGAGATGTCGAACTCGGGGAAACTCTCATTACCAGCGGCCATCTTAGTGACACGTGGAGGAGGTGGCAGTTGCTCGGGTGCGGTGGCGGCGGTAGTCAATGAAGAGTTGGAGGTAGAGGCGGTGCTGCGCTCGGAGTCAGTGATGCCTGGAGTGGTGTGGTGCACAGTAACCAGAGAAGCGGGACACGAGGCGTGGCGGCGGCATGCGATGCTCTTGGTGCTGAAGTGCGATGTGGTGCTCATCTCGTAGTCGTTGTTCATGGAAGGGAAATTAGCATCCCACCTTCATCGCCAGTGAAAAGTCCTTAGACTTACTTCGTGATTTCAGCTCTAAGACTTTTTTAGTAAGAACAAGACAACTTTTCTCGGCTTGCAGGCCGGTTTATAACCCCTGAAAACCCCACACCCCAAACACACCCCACTCAAGTCATTGACTGTTTACAGTGGCCTAGAGTTCCATAGGCTCTCGGCCGGGAGCCTAGCCCTCCGATTGGAGTGGGCTAGGATCCTCTAGTCCATTGTTCCTTGGAGCGAAGCTTGGAGGTTTAGCCTGACCATGGGGAGCCTTTGTGTCACACCTGGTCTGCAATAGTACATTACACCTGGAATCATAACTGATTTCCAGACAACAGAGATCAGTTCCCTGGAGGAAATGGCTGCATGGCATTATACCCCACTGAGCTCCCTCCGTTTTCCAAATCGAAGCTTCCCCACGATCCACCCCCCCTCCCCCAAGTTTGAGGAATTTCCCAAACTGGAGCTGGCAATCCTGTGTGTGGAACCTCTGAACTGCCTATGAAGTTAGTGTGTTCTCTATTTGATCCATTTCTTTCACAGGGAAAGAAAAAGTAATTTTTCTTCTTGAGATTTCTAGATGTTTGTTTTCCTTCTCATAGGAAGGGTGGATTACTGAGGAGACTGTGCCAAATGGTGAAGTTTCTGGAGAAGAACACAGACCTGTGGAAGTAATAGAAGAGTTTTGTCATTCTACGTATCGATAATAACTTAAGTACTTTTATGAATTGCATGCTTTACTTCGTTTTTCTGTTGTTGCTTTGCTTTATCCAACGAGAGAAAAAGTAATGGCTGAAAATAGTCTGCAAGTACAGGAAAGGCTGTTCTTGTGCTTCACAACCATGTTGCCCAGCCTCCAGTGAAAAACACGGAACTCTGAAAGTAACCCATGGTGAGTGAGACCCAGAGCAAACTGTGGTCAGCCTCAGACTGTGGTTGTGAAAATGCCTCAGCCATCTGTGATAAGGGACTCCCTTGCATAAGTTGGGAGTTTAATGTACTTTCATCCTATAAAAGGCAGAGCAGGACTGTTTTGGATTTGTGACAACATGTTTAAAAATTCAGGGTTGTTCTTTTAAAGAAAGGGTTAGTGCAATTAGATAAGTTTTGGTAAGAGACATTTAAGTATATCTTAACAAAGTGAAGTGAAGAACAATTATAAACTTTGTTTGCTTGGTAATTCTTTCTTTCTTTGCCATTCTTGTGTTATTCATACTGGCCTTTCCTTTGTTGCCAGGACACTGAAATATCTGAAGTTACTGAAGAGAATGAAGAGCACACAGAAGACAACACAGAAGCAGTTGCTGATTCTATTGAAGAGCCAACAGTAGAACAAGTACTTTTTATTTATTTCTTTTCCTTGCCATTTTTTGTTCAGAGCTTCCCTCTTCTGCTTATAAAATTCATAGCACTGCATTTCAGTCATTGGGCTGCATCTCCAGAAACATTATCTTATGCATTCGGGGGGGGAGAGGGAGTTCATCTGATTTTGTATCCATTACTACAAATTCATGAAATGATTTAAAAAAACCTATAAAAAGGAGTGCGTGTCAGTTTGCACAGCTCCCATTCTTATTAGGAAAGCCAATACAAACAGTGAAATATGCAGGGGTCATTTCGTAGAAAAAGAGCTAGGGGAACTCATTAGCATAACTCATTAGCATATGCAACACCCCCTGACATCAGGGGCCCGGCGGTGGACCTGCAAGATCAGCGGGAGTGCGAGGAAGCCCCGCCAAGGCCCTCCCTGGCCCCAGGCAGGCAGGGGTGGGGAGAGGCGGGGAGGAAGCAACTTACCCTCCCTCTTCTCTTGCCTCCTCCTGGCTGAATGAGGGCTGGAAGCGGGGCGGCCGGACGCAGGGGGCGGGGCTTCATCATGTGCCCCGCCCCCTGCACCTCACCCGGGGGAACTGCGTTCCCCCGCGTTTGCCCCCGAAATGACCTCTGGAAATATGTAATTGTCCCCAGCCTCTACAAGAACCAAAATAATGCCTACTCATTCAGCGAAATGATGACCTGCATATGTGAAGCAACCATCTTTGATCAAATGCCCCAGAACAAGTCCCCCCCCTCATAACTTCCACCTCAAGCAATAGAGGCAATTCACAGGTACACCTTTGAGTGGTGCTGCACTATGTGATGTAGATGCAGGAATCAATCCTAGGTTCCCCTTTAAAACTTCTAGCAGCTACATTTAGGCTTTCACAAGTGACATATTGGTTTTCACATTTCCCACTGCTCTAATATGAATATGTCACCAAAACTGGCAGAAAGTACATCTGATTTATAGGTCCATCCCACTTTCTGTCTTGCATCAACTTTCACAACGAATATGCTTCAGGCTAACAAGTGTTTCTTTAAAACACTTTGTGAAAACTCTTGGTGGCATCCAATAGGTCCCTGTCTGGCACTGTCTTACTTATCAATTAACCACCATTGCTACTCAGCTAGCTAGCACTCTTTC